CTAAAAACGTGCGATTGTAGGCGTAGGCCACTGAGAAAGCCCAAATCATAATGTTGCAGGAGAATATTTTATAGGGAAAATTACTGTAGAGTCCCACAGAAGAGAATTTACTACTGAAAGGTCTCATGAAATCATAAAATGTATATGAGGTCCCAAGAGACTTTATAGCAAAAAATTTCAAACGTGCAATTACTTTCTTGCCCTTCTGATTAAAGAAAGAAACTGAAGCACACGATTGAGAGAAAAACTCCTATCAGTTGTCATCTTCATGAAATCCGCCGCCGTCTCATTCGTGTCCATCCTTGTGTGCTCCGACAGCTTCAATCTCCGGTGAGGTCTGTCAGTGTCTGCTCAGTACATTGTCGCTCGCTGCTCCGCACTCCGTCAATCTCTGGTCCGCACTCAGTCGGTCTCTAGTTGGACGCCTCCAATCTCGTGCACGGTCCGTCGGTCGCTGGTTCGCACCCCACTACCAGTGAGCCTCGTGGGTTCCATCATCGATGACCTTCGCACCCCACCGCCGGCGAGCCTCTCTCTTGGTATATCATATTGATATTATCTATTACTGGTATATTTAGGTGAGGCGCTTCTCAGTTTCAGAGCAACAGTTGGTATTGTGTAAGTTGTATTATTTAAATTTCGAAGTAATGTTGGCTATTGTCAATTGTTGTGCATAAGTTGTTATTACAGTGATCGAAGGTTGTCATTAACGACCCCATGACCTGTCCTATTATGTAGGATGGAAGACTTGTGTAAGTTGTATTATTTAAATTTCGAAGTAATGTTGGCTATTGTCAATTGTTGTGCATAAGTTGTTATTAAGTGATCGAAGGTTGTCATTAACGACCCCATGACCTGTCCTGTTATGTAGGATGGAAGACTTGTTCGAAGGTTCAGATGCATTGTCCATGTCTCCACCCAATGTGTTTAGTGAAGACCCACTATCATTGTCATGTGGTTCAGAAGTGATGTCAACTCCAATTTCGGAAAGGAATTCAACAAAGTGAAAGGGTCTGGTTATTGGAGAAGGATAAATTTTTCCTAATGCAGTAGCCCTTAGACAAGCACTATATAGGTACAGCATTGCTGATAAGTTTTCATACAAATTTGTTTGGCCCATTGCGAAGGTTGTTAGCCACTTCTCTTCGGGTTGTCAACACCCACTGTTGAGGTTGTAAATGAATTGCTGTAGTAAAAATCTACTGTAATCCTATTGGGTTCAATTAAAGCTGTTAATAACTTTAAAATGCTCTTAATTTTTTTTTAAGGTCGTTATATATGCTGATAATACAATCTATTTAGAAGCTGTGGCATCCTACAGAGTGATTTGTCAGGGACACTGCCCAGGTTGTTAACCACTTGTCTTCGGGTTGTCAACAACCCCCGTTGAGGTTGTAAATGGATGTGGCAGAGATGATTGTGATATATGCCTATCATGTCATCATGGTTACCATTTGTTTATCCAGTTTTATTTAATCTGCATTTGTGGACATGATCCGTGTATGGAACGAAGAATTTCCTGTTTTGTCAAAACACATGAATGTCATTACAAAAACTTCATAATCAGTAAATGATGTCAATACACATTAACATATCTTAATATCTAGCTATCACTACATGGTCAAATAAAGAAACAAAATCTGAACTTTACATTCAACTGTCAAATAAAAAAAACTAAATACAATCTATGCTCATCGTTTATTTCTTCTTCTTGCTTTGGGAGTTTCCTCGTAGCAAAGACAGCACTTGATCACCATGCAGGTTGTTCTGATAAGTTACAAGCCACCACAAGCATCCAACCTTCAAGTAATGGATTTCTTGAGGGGATTACAAGCATCCAACATGCACAACATACAGTCACAACCTACACATCAGACAATCACAACCTACATTTGTGCCATTCACAACATACATAGCAGCCAATGACAATCCACGCTAAACCGAATGACAACAAGAACAGTAGGAAATTACAACCTATACATAAGCAAGCGACAAACTAACAGAGGCTAATGACAACCTACACACAAGACAATAACAACCTTCTCACCAACCAATCACAACATACAAATAAGCAGTTGACAGCGTACATACTAGTGAATGACAACATAGAGTAGTAAATGACAACATAAAGGATAGTAAATGACAACATACAGAGCAACCAATTACAACATATAAAGAATAGTATATTCCCACTGAGGGAGTTACTTGATATAACCCTAGAAAATACAGGAATATGATGAATGAATGAGATTTGTCCATCCTTATAACAACATAAATTGGATGAAATGAACCAGAAACTACATTAAAATACTGCACTCACGAACTTCTGAGCTGTGATAGGTTTCCTAGTTCATTTGGAATCGCTCCACTTAGGTAATTGCAACTTATGCACAACAATTGACAATAACTAACATTACTTCAAAATTTAAATAATACAACTTATAGAAATCTTCCATCCTACATAACAGGACAGGTCATGGGGTTGTTAATGACAACTTTCGATCACTGTAATAACAACTTATGCACAACAATTGACAATAGCCAACATTACTTCGAAATTTAAATAATACAACTTACACAAGTCTTCCATCCTACATAACAGGACAGGTCATGGGGTCGTTAATGACAACCTTCGATCACTGTAATAACAACTTATGCACAACAATTGACAATAGCCAACATTACTTCGAAATTTAAATAATACAACTTACACAATAGCCAACTGTTGCTCTGAAACTGAGAAGCGCCTCACCTAAATATACCAGTAATAGATAATATCAATATGATATACCAAGAGAGAGAGGCTCGCCGGCGGTGGGGTGCGAAGGTCATCGATGATGGAACCCACGAGGCTCACTGGTAGTGGGGTGCGAACCAGCGACCGACGGACCGTGCACGAGATTGGAGGCGTCCAACTAGAGACCGACTGAGTGCGGACCAGAGACCGACGGAGTGCAGAGCAGCGAGCGACAATGTACTGAGCAGACACTGACAGACCTCGCCGGAGATTGAAGCTGTCGGAGCACACAAGGATGGACACGAACGAGACGGCAGTGGATTTCATGAAGATGACAACCGATAGGAGTTTTTCTCTCAATCGTGTGCTTCAGTTTCTTTCTTTAATCAAAAGGGCAAGAAAGTAATTGCACGTTTGAAATTTTTTGCCATAAAGTCCCTTGGGACCTCATATACATTTTATGATTTCATGGGACCTTTCAGTAGTAAATTCTCTTCTGTGGGACTCTACAGTAATTTTCCCTATTTTATATCAATGAAATGGGACAATGTAATTGCCCATTGAAAGCGTGTAATGACTCGTTTGGTTTCTAGATCAGTGGTAATTGTCAGATTAAAAGAAATAATTAAAAGAGAGAGAGAGAAAATAAAATATAATTAAAATATGAAAGCTGTAATATTCCTCTAATGAGCCGACCATCGTTGAAGGGGAAGACGAGTCACAGGTCAGCTAACATATCCATACCATATCATTTCAGTCAATATTTTTACACAAACGTGTTTGGTAAAAGAAGTCGTTTATGACCATAAATAGCAAAATTACTTATTGTTAACCGACCAAAATTCGGAATTAAATGTAGAATCAGGAATGGCCTTTTCTGTTATTATATGTACTCCTCCGCTCCTTAATATAGAATCCAATTTTTAAGTTAGTTTTGGTCCTAAATATAAGATCCATTTCTCATATTTATCAATTTTTTCTAAATTACCCTTATGAATACTCCCCCAACCATAATTAAGTAGAAGAGAGAGATATGGTATTAAGAAATATTATTATGGTGTTTTAGGAAAAATGTGTCACTTTTCTTATAATTAATTAACTTACCTAACTTTCTTAATCTAATCAAATTAATTAAATAGGTCTTATATTAAAAACCGAAAGAATATATATATATATTTATATATATGCGCAAAGTCATTCCAGCTGATTTGAGTGCCAACCCAAGCCACCGGCTTCATTTTGATAATTTCATTTGATTAAACGATTTTTTATATACAAATGTGTGTATTTAAATTTGGGAGAATTACAATGAGATACTAAGAAAGAAATATAATTACTAAAAAGTCATGATAACAACTTATAAGGATAAGTTTCAGAATAGAAAAATAACAACTTTTAGAACTTATTTTGTAATTTGTAATTATTTTTCTTACTTAAAATCTTATTGTAATTCTCTTTTTTAAATTTTATGAATTTGAATGCTCTCCCTCTCTCTTCTTTTCCATTTTTATAGGCAAGAAAGTTGAAATAAGAAGCCCCCAGCAAGACGCATGTTCTTGCAATTGATATGCCTGCTAAGTGCTATCCGACTAATAGATCAACCTTATTTGGCTTCTTCTTTGTTTTTCTTCAAGGCTGATCGTGTTATTTCGTAAAATAATAAATCCAAATTGTGTAAAACCAAGTTAACCAACTCAAGCTGCTAAAAAATAATGCATTTCGCACACTGAAAGTTAAAAGCACGCGATTCACTTATAACTGTGGCCCCAAAAAAAAAAAAAAAACTCAACTGAAAAAATGATAAAGAGAAATTAGAACTTAGAAAATAAGGAAAATAATAATAATTTTGTATTAAAATATTTTTTAATTTCAAATAATTTGTATTTTGATGGAAGAAAAATACTTTGTAAGTTAAAATATACTTATATCGATAACTGAGAGATTTGTTAAATTTTTTTAAAAATAAATAATTTAGATATTTTAATTAGAGAATATTTTTATATGAAAAATATATAAGGAATAATTATAATGAGGTGCAAAAAAGTTATCAATAAGTCCCAAAAAGTTATTTTTTTACTCTGAAATTTATTATTACAAGTTGTTATTAAGACTTTATAATAATAATTTTTTTCTCCTCAGATCTCATTGTAACTCTCCAAATATATATAATCAATATAATTATTATAATGAAATTATTTATAGACTATTATTTAAACATTATTGTATGCCTGTACTATTTTTTTTTTCCAAAAATCATTGAGCAAAAGAAGGCATCACTCATTAGGCTGGCAGCCCCCCCGGGGTGATCCACTGACCCGGTCCCTCTTTCATTCCAAGTGGGCCCCTTTCGAGAGTTTTTTGTCTTCACTTCTCTGGTGCACGTGAGCCCCCCTTTTCCTCTCTCTCTCTCTCTGCGCTTTCAAACTCACCTTCCCCCTCCCACTTAACTCCACTCTCTATCACGATTCAGATCTCATTCTCATTTCCCTCATTTCACCGTTCATGATTCCTCCTTCCACTTACCTTCCTCTGTCTCCTCCATGTCTTCTCCTTCAACCTCTTCCTTTCCCATCTTCACTCTCTGCATCCTCCTCCTCAGCTTCCTATCGCAGCTTGCTTCTGCTCACACTTGTTCTTCACACCCACAAACGTCGTCTTCTTCTTATTCTCCTTGCCCACCTTTCACTTCGAATCCTCCTTTTCCATTCTCTTTCTCACCAGGCTGTGGCCACCCTTCCTTCCAAATTCAATGCTCTACTCCTCATTCTCTCATCTCCATTAACAACATAACTTTCTCTGTTCTTAGTTATAACCCCAATTCTTCTTCGCTTACCCTATTGCCTAATCTTGATGATGCATCAGAAGCAGCAAGTTCAGCCGCCCGCAGAAATTGCTCCACTCCTCGCTTACTTTCTATTCTCAATCGTTCTATTAATCTCTCTGGCTCTCCTTTCACAATCTCCGATGCTCTCTGTTCCCGACTCTCTGATATCCAACCTTGCTCGCCTCCCAGTCTGCCAAACTGCAGCCACTGTCCGTGGGAATGTAGCCTCATCAAGAACCCGGCTCACCTCCTCCGTGGCTGCGGATCTGCCCGTCGCTCCGTTTCAGACTCAGACGGTCGCTGCGAAAGTGATGTTTTGGGGTATCTCGACAACATACTTGCTCGAGGGATGGAAGTCGAGTGGAATGAAGCTCAAGATCCTTACTTTTCAAGCTGCAGAAACTGCAGCGCCAACAAGGGAGTTTGTGGATTCAATTCATCGGACCCACACAACCAATTTATGTGCCTTCTCTCCAAATCTGAATCTGGTTTTTCGCCTGGTTGGATTCGAAGGGTGAATCCCAAGCGTAACACAGTTTTGTCCCTTGTCATCCCTTTAATGTTGCTGCTGCTTTTTGTTTCTGTCGCTGCTGCAATTTTCCGCTCGAGGAGATTCAAGTCATCGAAGACAGAGGAGGACCCAACAATCCTTTTTCTTCACAACCAGCGCTCGGCTAGTCTTCTTCCTCCCGTCTTCACCTACGAGGAACTGGAGGCTGCCACTAATCGGTTCGACTCGAAACGCAAAATTGGCGATGGCGGGTTCGGGTCGGTGTACCTGGGGCAGCTCCACGATAGCAGAATCGTCGCCGTGAAGTACCTCCATAAGCACCACGCGGAGGTCGCCGCGGGACGAGCTTTTTCCACCAAGTCTTTTTGCAACGAAATTTTGATTCTATCTTCCATCGACCACCCGAATCTAGTCAAGCTTCACGGGTATTGCAGCGACCCGAGAGGATTGCTTCTAGTCTACGACTATGTCCCCAACGGAACCCTCGCAGATCATCTTCATGGCCCCAAGAGTTCATTCCAAAAAGGGTCTCTCACGTGGCAAGTGAGGCTCGATATTGCTCTACAAACAGCATTAGCCATGGAGTACCTTCACTGCTCAGTTGTGCCCCCGATAGTTCACAGAGACATCACTTCGTCCAACATCTTCGTGGAGAGGGACATGAGGATTAAAGTTGGAGACTTTGGGCTGTCTCGGCTATTGGTTTTGCAGGATTCATCGTCGTCTTCAACTGGGTATGTCTGCACCGGCCCCCAAGGTACACCCGGATACTTGGATCCGGATTACCACCGGTCGTTCCGATTAACGGAGAAGAGTGACGTGTACAGCTTTGGGGTGGTGTTGCTGGAGCTGATTTCCGGGTTGAAGGCGGTGGATCAGAGCCGTGACAAGCGGGAAGTCGCGTTGGCCGATCTGGTGGTCTCCAGAATCCACATGGGTCAGCTGAATCAGGTAGTGGACCCTGTTTTGGCGAAGGAAGAAGTGATGGACGCCGTCGCCGCGGTGGCGGAGCTGGCGTTCCGTTGCGTGGCGGCGGACAAGGACGACCGCCCGGACTCAAAAGAAGTGGTGGAGGAGCTGAAGCGGGTACGGATCCAGACCCAGGCGGGGCTTCGATCGGCGTCGAATTCCCACGCAGGTGCTGAAGTGAGGGATTGTGGATTGTGAGATTGGATGGGCCCAAAATGCCCTGTGGTGTTTGACTATCTCAGTTCACTTTTGTCGACTAGTCAAACGGACCCCACGAGAACGATAATTCCACGTTGGACTTACTCGCACGAGGGATTTGTTTGGTTGGATGAAAGCGTCAGCGGCCCCTCCGTACGGGATTTGAGAGGTTTTAAATTTACACCAGAGCCTTCTCCAACTCCTACCTCATGTCACCTCAGAATATTTTGTGAGTAAATATCTTGTATTTCCACTCTCTGTGCTTTGGAGATCAAGCACATTTCGTCTTTGTAATATATGCCATGCTACTCTTCAAGCCCTTTTAATTTGCAAATTGTAAATTGATGGGCGAGTTTAAACCATTTTGGGAGGAGCATACAGAATGAGAGCCAGAGCAGCGGGTGACTAAGAATAAATGAAATATAATAATGAATAAACTTTGAAAATACGAACGTGAAACTCTCACCCACCATTTAGTTTCTTGCGCAAATGTTAATAAAACTCGTACAGAAGTCAGAACCTCTCACATGTTTACGTAACTCGGCCGATGCTCTTTGCCCCCAAAAAAAAACCAAAAAAACTCGGCTCATGCTCATTAAAGCCCTTTGGTGTCTTGCGAGAGATATTATTATTATATTATGACACCATTACGCTGTAAAGAGAATGAGGCTGCGAAAAGTGAAGTATTGGAGTTGGTGACTGGTCAGCATTTCGTGCAGCCCCGGGCAATGCAAATTCATGGCGTGTCAACAACGCAAATAAGATATCTATCTCCATGACCTTCCCGTGATTTGCGCTAAGAAAATGACCCGACAGGGCTACCATGTGTCAAAGTCAATAAGAAACACGGCACTGCACATGCCACAAGGTTTCACAGCCTCCAAGGATGCAAAAGCTACAACTTTTTCATTCTTTTTTATAAGTTCTATGTTTGCATTACACAATAACACTCTTTTTTGCATCGACCATTGCAGTGCACTCTAGGATACCTCAGTATTCATTCAACAAGCATAGTTCATGTAAAGGAGGCGATTATTCCTTCGTTAGAAGTATGCACTCTCCAACGCCCTGGCCTTTTCGTTTGCTTTGCCGGCTTCTGGCCTGTTCGCTAGTCTGTATGCTTTCTCCTGATACAAAATTTGAAGTAACAGTAATGATTATAAGAATAATCATGGTTTTGAACAGTCATTAGCTTTTGGCTCTCTACTATAGGCAAGGCAATTGGCAAACTGTACCAGTAGGCGCCACATGAATGGAACACCTTCCCTTTTCTTGATTTGCTTCTCGATCACCTCGATTGCTGCATGTTAGTTACCATTTGTTAAGCATAACTGAAAGGTTTGAACTTTTAACTTGCAGTGGAGTTCGAGACTATACCCTTCATTGTTTCTCCAGCGTTCAGTAACATCGTGTACCAAACTTGATTGAACACTTCAAGTTGTTCATCTGACGCTCCGATTATCTTTACATGACAAAGGAATTGGAATCGTCAGATGGAAAACAAAGCTAAAAAGAAGCATCAGTAAAGTCTAATCATTACAACCTTGTAATTACAGGCATCAAAATCAGAATCCAGTAACTCCAGTCCTTGCCTGTCGTTCCCTCTCCCATATGCATAAAGAGCTTCTGCGAGCTGATCTAGAAAGTATCAATAGAAGGGAGTTTCAACTGTAAAAGAATGATAAGAGTTCACTCGCATAGTCGCATGAGCAAAGGATCCCATGTTTGTAATAATTTCTACTGACGTTAATCATGAAAGTTTGGGAAGGGTTGTCATAAGCAACAATATGGACAAATTATGCGCTTCACCATATACTTGAATGATTCTAAGAAACGGATACCAGGCCAGTAAGAATTAAGTAGGATTTATGCTAAAGAGGCGAGAGATGGCGATCCAAGGTAATCCATATGAATTGTAGTCCTATTTGTCACATATTCAGCCAGCACCACATGATGACTGTTGCTTCAAGCACCTAACTGATTGTTCTGAGTAAAATATCCAAAAGTGAAGGATGACTACAATTTACGGCGATCTGGCCCACATTTAATGGCTGCGTTGCCCAGGGGAAGAGCCTCAAACTTTTCCTTGATACATATTCTGTAACACTACTGGTTATTGTAATGAAAAGCCTAATTCACCAAATCAAAATTGAGTGCAACAAAATCGGATTGTCAAACATCAGAAGAGATTCACAACAAGCAATTAAGGATCATGAATACAAGAAGGCAACATTTTCACGTGGTCGTGGAAACAGCAGCCTAGGGCATACCTGCATTCCCTTCTGCATTGATTGTTGCTTCTTTGTGCCCATTCTAGAAATCCTACAGTAAGAAAACTTGATAAAATAATGCATAACATATCTCTACAAAAGTTTCTCTAGAAGATAAGATGATGCTTCTACCTGTATTTTAACTCATTTAGAAGATCCTCAGCTTTAGAGAATTTTCCAGTCTTTGCTAAAGCCCAGACGGTCATTACATCAAGGTGCCACTCTATATTCCAATTTGCCTAAACAAGTCGTGCGTACATTCATAAATTGCAGAATTGAAGTTATTTCAACATTGTACTTTTTTCTTTTTTTTTGGCCAAATTTCAACAATGGACTTGAAGCACTATATAAAAGCCATATGAAAAGCATCATTAATGGACATGGAAAAGATACGTCTCAGAAAAGTAGTAACTTGTAAGAGAAAAATACATTTTCACCAGCGATTCATAAAATTCCTAAATAACTTAAAATATCCTGACAGAGCTGTATCTTTTAATCATAATTTTTGGCATCTGGTATTTGCACCCCCCATTACAAAATCTTGATTTACTGTAGAGACATAAAATTCCATGTTTCATACCACATTGTGGAAATATCATTAATGATAAAAACAACGATTTCATTTTAAAGAAGTTCCAGTCTGAGATAGAATCCTAACAAAAATCAAGGTTCTCCTGATAGAAAAAGTTACAAAATAAAGTTACTTCATTACTAAACTTGTGTCAAGTCTACCTTCTCATGGGACAAAACACCCTAACACCTGTATATCACCCAGGACCATAGTAGCTGTTCCATCACCAAAGCAATGGTTTCTACGGTTCACTGGTTGTGCTTAACATGTTTCTGTGATCATCTATTGAATAAGTGCAAACAATTAGTGAGTTAGACCTAAATCTAGCCAGGGACTTAAAAATTGGTTTAGAAACCTGAAACTTTTAACAAGCTTATTTCAAATTATTTCTTACGCTTCAGACACTTAAGCTTCTATACATAACACATTTGGTCCATGTTAGCAAAAAGTTTTATGCTTTAAAGCGTCATCAGTCCTAGACTACATGAAGGCACACACGATAATAGCATCAAAGATACGCAGGCAATAGTATTGGTCCTTCGGTATCTGCTTTGTTAACCACTTTGACACTAAAAGATACTATGGACACAAAAGTGTTTAGTAGACCTTAGAACTTCTGATGTAAAAACTTTAAATAGGATTACCACCTTTGTTTTCATATTGGAATTGTAAAAATTTTAGTAAAATTATTTTTGAGATCATTACAGTATTCCAAATTTTACAAGAACCCTTCTAATTTTCAATACCAACACAAATTTCCCCAGCACGAATCCCCAAAGAAACTGCCATGGATTTTCTTGAGTGTTCACACTTTCTCTGTTCAATGGAGGTTTATGTAGAATAAGGCAATGAACTAGAGGTTGATGTAAAGATCCAGTTCAAGGTTGCAAAAGGAGGTCTACATAAATTCAAAAAAAGTCCGTGACAAAATCAAGTATTGCATTTTGAAAATTATAAATGTAGAATTTTTTGGGAACTCACTTGGTCACTTAGGCATCCTGCTAGTATCTCGAGACGATCCCCAAGGACATCAAGCTCACCATGAACATGCAATCGCAAAAGAAGACCCACAGCATTTAAGTAAACCTATGCGCAGATTAAGTTAGAATTGACAATAAAAGGAATGAAGAAAATTTAAAGCTATTGATTGCAGTAAAGTCGGCCAAATAATATACCTCTCCGGCAGCATCAGCTCTTTCTAACTCTTTCCATATATGATGGTCATATAACTCAAGGACTCTTTGTGTTGGGGCATTACCTTCTAAATAACAAAGTGCTACATGCCACCAATTGTGGGTCAGCCTGGAAAGGAAAAAAAAAGAAAGAAAGTTCTAGCTCACTATGACAAAGTGGGATGAAGCTTTGTAATAATGAAAAATATGCTTACATAAATGACAAACAAGAATTCCATGAAGACGCACATCCTTCCATGAACTGAACTGCTTCTTTAAATTTACATTCATACTGAAAAACATGGCATAACTGCAGAACAAAATTTGATGGTTTCAATAGTCATGTAGGTTATAACTAATTAGAGGTTCTTGAAGCAAATACACTTGACAGTAACTTGTGTTTATATATGTTACTCATTATAAATAAATTATATCGGAAACAAAAACATGAAATGATTGCTCAATCAATGACTGAATTGCCGGTGATAATTGAAGCCTAGGTGCCTAGCAAGCAGGAAATTTAATTTCCAGGGCACTGGGGAACCTATTTATAACGTTTGGATATGACAAATATGAACATTTTAGAATTGTTAAGTGCTGTACAGGATGTGTGTTAGTATTTTGTATAAATAGTTTCCTACGGTCTTGACAAATTCGATTTCCACAAGCAAAATGCCGCCTCATTGTCAATTGAGTAGCATGGGAAAAGGAAGCATGTCCTGTATAATAATGACACGGTAAAATATTTCTAATGTTTAACAAATACATCAACCTACAGCATGCTGCGCCCAGACGTCTTCCTTATTGATTTCAAGTCCCCTTTTGGCAGCTTTCTCAGCATCTCTCATTTGTCCAACCTCTAATAAAGCAAAAGAAAGCATGCCGTATACGTAATTATCTCCTTCATTTTCAGGAAGAACCTGCACAACTTAGAAGCATAAGGAATTGAAATGCCCTTGAATAGATAAATGATGTACTCCTCCAGTCCTAAATATAAGACCCACTTTAATTGAAAATCATCTAAGGATTAAAGAATTAAATATCTGGATTAAAGAAGAGTGTGATTTCCAGTGAGCGCTAGGCATCAAGCACAATGGTGTTTGGTACGGTAACTTAGAATGGTGAAAAGAAAGTGTTTGAAATAGCTAGGGGGAATATGAATTTATCCACCAGGCACGAGATTCATAGCCAATTTCAATTACTTGATGCAAATGAAACAGAACAAACAAAAAACCAACAGAATACATTCTGGTTTGGTGATTCATACTCGACCTTTGTGCACTTCAATTTGGTACGAGTCATAAAATTCAGTTCTGTACTATATGTCAAATGTTAATAAAAAAGCTATTATATATCTATATTGGCAATTTTTCCATTTCTTTAAACATGATGAAAGATTGCTGCTAATAAACCCAAGGTTTTCATATTCCACCTAAAAAGGTGCAAGAAAGTTTTTCATGACCACTGAAAAAAAAAATTGCTGTTTACATGAAAATTGTTGCAGAAAGAAGCAAAACAGTTTCAGATAAGAAAATAACCTGGCGAATAAGAGACAGAAAAAGATCAGGTTGACCCATGTAGAAGCACAGAACTTGAGCTCTCTTCAGGGATGCCAGATCTCTTGGGAACTCTTTCAGAACCTGCAAAGCAAACGGAAGTTGTATAAATCAAAAAGGCATGAGAAAGCATTATAAATTAATTTCAAAAGTAGTACAGGCACTAGAACTGGGGAAGTATCTGCAGCATCCAATTACTTTTCTCCAACTTTAACAAGAGATTGTCAATGTAACAATATACCATACAGCATGAAGATTCTTAGTTCACTGTTTTCATTATATGAACGATACCTAGACTTCAAATTATCAAAGTACTCTGTTTAAACTTCAACTTCGTACAAGCCAGCATTAAATTATTTGACTACATCCTTAACGCCTTCTAAGTTTACTGGTTTGGTTCACATTGTGTTCTCTAGTATTTAGGTCTTCCAGTTAATGCCAAAGTAACCAGCAATTATCACCTCAAGACTCGTAAGAAAAATGAGAACTTTTACAAAGAACTTTAACGGTGCTTTTATATTTTGAATCAATCATGTCTTACAAAATATACCTATAACTTCTTTAGATATACTGATTATTACATTGATATGCAAGAAGGAACTAAGATAGTATATACAGATTGGTTTTTAATAGATTCTGTGTTAAATGCAAAGGTTTTGGGCCCATCTGAAGCTCCGATAAAAAAATTTAGGCATTTATGCAAAGGAAGTGAGGAACTGCCAGCAAATTCTACAGGATGGGAATGTGTGTCAAGGTGATATTCCATACAAAACTATTTGTTAGCAATTCACGTAGTACTGAAGTGCTGAGATATTTATAAGAGAAGAACTTGAATTTAAAAGCCAGGGGATAATTCAGTATCTATTGTTGTCACCAAACTCACCACAGACCGTAATGATAGATTGAAAAGCAGAAGTTTTGGGCAAAAAAGGAAAGAAAAAAAAATAGCATCCATTAACGAGGGCCAATCACCTTAAGATGTAACTCAACAGCGACATCATCATCTCTGTCTTTAGAACCCAAATAACTGACGGCATCGAAAACTAGTTTCTCATACCGAGTAGCTTGTTCCTGTCACAACTGAGCTCCAATTATGCACAAGAAAGACAAATTGAGGCAAAATCATTTTCAACGGTAGCCAAGTTAATGAAAGATTACAAGGTTGGCCTTAGCAGCTTCAAGAAAAGAAGGAGCTCGTGAAGGATCAGAGAAGTTAAGGAGATGGGCTGCCAAGATGTTGGCCAAAACGCAGTCTTTATCATGAGCTGCGGCTTCCAGAATCACACACCGATCTCTGCCATACCCTAGAAACTTCGCAGTCCCAAAGATACCAATTTCAGATAATCGAAGTTCCGAGCACAGAGTAGAAGAAAACAGCGAACAAGAGAGGAGTTAGAAGCAGACCTGATCGTAGAAGGCGTTGATAGATGAAATGCAGGCCTCCGAAGAAGTTCTCACTTCGTATCCCCATTTGTCCAGTTTGACACCTCCTTCCATCTTTCCCCTTTCCTCTTTCATTCTATAATCTGCTCTCTCTGTGGACTGTGAAAATCTAAAAGAGCGAGAGTAGAATAAATGGTCTCAATCTTGTCCGAGGCTCGAACCTCCTATACGAGAATATCAATCATTAATCAATATTATCAATGTGTACTTATCATAAAGATCCTCGTCAGCATAACCGCAAGAAAATGTTGATGTCAATCATTGTCGTCATCTACTTGTTGATTTGTGGGCTTGCCGCCGAGAGTTGAATTTTCATTTTGGCACTGTTTGGTAAGTGGTTTCTAGATATTTTACGGACAATCAATGCTTGCCAAATTCATCCTTCATCAATTTATCACGCCCCGGCATCCCAAAGCTTCATGGTTTCAATTTTCATAAAATAAGAATAAATTGATTATCATACCTTTTTAAAGATATAGCTTCTTTTCTTTTCCGCAAAAAAGGTCAATGGGGTTACAACTCATAATTCACCTGTCGTGCCCCCGGAATCGGCGTAACTTATTGATGCGAAATTGGTCAATTTTTTTTGCTCCTAAAAAAGGAGGCTTAGGAAGCAGGCTTACTGATAAAATAAACTAAGCTTTACCGGTTTAACAAATTTAGAGAATTATGACCGCCGAGCTTGATTCTCTTCTCGGCAAATATTGATGCATCTCTAGGTTGCAAACTGAAAAGGCCTTATATATGCCTATATGGTTTTAAAGCATCGCGCTGAAAGTTTGAACATTAATAAGGTTTCGGATCTTATGTTACATAGCCCTACTTGTTGGGAGGCAACATGTTGAAATATACCTTTGGTTCCAAGTCTGTATGATTTTGCTACAACTAATGAAAATTTTTGAAGATTCCTTTGTCTTTCTGCCAATCACCAGACAGACTGATTTGAAATCAAAGTGCTAGCGGTGTGCTCTGTTAAGAAAGGATTTGAACTCTGCATTAAAACAAATGACCCTTCATTGAATGCTGATACCGAACTTTGTGATCTGCTATGAGAGTTACAGCTGCCTTTCAAGCAATTGTTAATCATCTAAAGGTTCATTCTTATTATTGTGTCCTTGGATGTCAAGTTCAAGAATCATAGGAACATATTTTCTGCATTTGCTCTGATGTAAAATCCATTTTGTTTGGAGCCCATTCCGTGTCATCTACACAGATAGGAGAGGAAGGGTTGATTCATCGGATCCTATCTAAATTTTCTTTATCATATAAAAGAAATCAGATTCACGTTTTAAAAGGCGACATCATTCTCCCACATCCATTTGGAGAAAAAGGAATATTGCCTTTCATCAAGAATTCAAAGGAAGCGAAAACTATCTTAATGATGTCTGTTCATGGTCTCATTTCCTGGAAAACCAATACAGCAGAACAATTCTTTTGTCCAAGAAATTTGCAGTAACTTTGGATTGTGAAGAATTTCTTGAATCAGTGTAATGTCAAGAATCATCGTGGGATCATTTGCTACCAGAAGAAACATATTCATTGACTTTTCGAGCTGGACATTACTATCCAACGTGCGCTTCGTCTCTCCAAGAATTTTGATTCATACTAGCTCCGGTCCTACTTATAAGAGCCAGTTGACTAATTTGAAGAGATTAAAAAAGTAAATTGAGTTAGTTATTTGTCCTAAATAAGTGTTGTTTTTTTCTAAAATATCTTTACTAATCAAGTGTATTAACTAAAACTATCATTGCTAGAAGGGCTATTTTGAAGAAAAAAATATAAATATGAGAGACAAAGTGGATTGGGATTTTATACTCAAGATCAAAATAAAAGTCAAACAAGATCTTATATTAAGAACCGGACGAAGTATTACTTAAAAAGTCAACGGTAAACTCAGATTGGGCCAGAAAAGAAACTGCTTATTATTACGCTCCCAAAAGCTCATCAAAAGAAAATTATTTTAAAGACCAAATGCAGTTCGTCATCTCGTTACAGAATTGTAAACGAGTTCGATTACTTCGCAGAAGCCGCGGCAGCTTTCCATCTCATATGAAGAGCCTCCACATATTCAATGAGTTTCTCAGTCTCAGGTATCAAACCCTTCACGTTAGGATCAGACCCGAATCTCTCTGCCCATTTCACCAAACCAGGATGTTTGGCTTCAATCATCAACTTTCTTCCATTCATAGTCTCTATCACACTCAACCAACGCAGCAAGCTTCCAAAAGTAATATCAACCAACCCAATTTCCTCTCCTCCAAAAAATCCCTTTCCTTCTTCTCTGCAACATTTCTGTAACTCACCTTCCATTGTCACAAGTGCATCTTCTACTTCCTCCAGGTATGACTTCCTTGCTTCTTCGTCTTCTTCACGAACAACATTTCTCATCGCCACAGTACACTATTCCCAGTGAAACTCATTAGCAGTAACCAGAAGGGATCGGAATAAGAGTAAAGATAAAGTATGAAGAGAAATTAAACGTTTGATACCTTGTCATCGATGTAGGCAGCCCAGAAACGAGCCATGGCTCGATCGTAAGCATCTGCAGGTAAGATGGAGGGACCGGAGTTCCAAACCTCGTCTATGTATTCGACGATGACTCTGGATTCACAGATGGGTTTGTCCGTGAAGTAGGACTGGGATTTTGGTGAACAGGATTTGACTGGAGAAGAAGCTGGCTTTTTGGGTTCAAGGTGTCCTCAATGTTCTCATATTCCATAGATTTGATGTTGAGGGCAATCTTAACCCCAAACGAATGGACTGAACCATGCACCCAGAAGCTTGAGGCTAGTGTTTGCCATGAGTAACTAGCATAAGCTATAAACTGTGAAGGAGAAAAACACAGGATATGAGAAATAATTGTGAAGGCAACACGGGTACAAGCAAGTATGAGGTGTTTATGTAGGAAAACTGGTAAAGTGGGAATCACCAAATTCAACAGAGGACACCTACCGTATATTATATTAATGGGTTAAGGTGCAAACCAGCACCCCCATGTACGGTGTACCCAGTGGCCTGAAATAATTTGTGGTGCAAATTTGCCCTCAAAGTAATTAAATTGGTGCACTGGTATCCCATGCTAACAGATCTGTTAGTTTGACCGTTAAATTGATGAGTCAGCACAAGTTTGACCAGAAAATCTGACGTGACATGTCTAATAAGCAGGTGATGTGGAATTTTTTTTGGGGTTAAGGTGCATCCAGCACCCCAAGTATTTTTCCAGGTGCACCCAGTGGCCTAAAGTAATTTATGGTCCAATTTTACCCTCAAAGTAATTAAAATGGTGCACCGGTATCCTATGCTAACAGATCTCTTACTTTGACTGTGAAATTGATGAGTCAGCACAAGTTTGACCAAAATAATTTGACTTGGCATGTCTAATAAGCAGGTGATGTGGAATTTTTTTCGTCTGCCACTGCTTTGTTTTCTATGTTCAGTAAATGCTCTCTTCGGCTCTTGGAATTTTTTTCAGAGTAAGAAATTTTTTTAGAGATACTCCTCTAGTCCTATTTATAGGGTAGAGAGAAAACATATTTTTTGATCCTATTTATAAGGCACTGAGAGAAATTTTTTGTATGGATATACAAATTTAACCCTCATTTATTATTGTATTGACTTTGTTTATATGAGGTATAATGTATATTAAATAGGGATAAAGTTGGAAAGTTATTAAAATTTAAATGAGAGTTAATGAAATTTAGGGTTTTCCTTGGTCTGTGTGAAACATGCTAGAAATACCTTATAAATAAGACCAGAGGAGTAATATTCAGACAAAACAATGGAATTAACAAGAAAAGCCATGTCACCTGCTTATTAGACATGTGAGGTCAGATTATTTTAGTCAAACTTGTGCTGACTTATCAATTTCACAGTCAAAGTAACAGATCTGTTAGCATGGGATATCGGTGTACCATTTTAATTACTTTGAGGGCAAAATTGCACCATAAATTACTTTAGGTCACTGGGTGCACCTGGAAAAATACTTGGAGGTGCTGGATGCACCTTAACCCCGAAAAAATTCCACATCACCTGCTTATTAGACATGCCACGTCAGATTTTCTGGTCAAATTTGTGCTGACTCATCAATTTAACGATCAAATTAACAGATCTGTTAGCATGGGATACCGGTGCACCAATTTAATTACTTTGAGAGCAAATTTACACCACAAATTACTTTAGACCACTGGGTACACCTGACTAAATATATAGGGGTGCTGGGTGCACCTTAACCCTATATTAATTCACTGAGCAGCCTTGGCCCTGATGGCGGAAAACAGTGGGCAAAATGGAATTGACAATTGACTCGGTTACACCGACGAATAGCCTGCGCCTTGTAATTAAATTTTAATATTAATTATTCAGATCTTAAATGGAGTACAGGATAAAAGATTATCATTTTTTTTATTTTTTTAACTTCAAGAATTAAAAATAGAAATATAATAAATTGTAATTTTTTTAAATTAAATTTAAATATTTTAAATAAGATTAGAAAATAGAATTTACGGTCAAAATTTTTTTTTGCAGCATATAAAATAAATACATAAAAAGAGTTTTATTTTGTCTTATGTAAAAGTGCTTACCAAAAACTCTCTGTCTCACTTTTAAGGGGTTTGGATAGAAATTAAAATCATAATTTGAGAGTTTCACTGGAAAAAAAATCATAATTTGGGAGTAAAAACCAGGATTTTGGAAAAAGTAGCTAAACTGCTGATTTTTTCTCAAAATTAATTGAAAAACTATGGTTTGGATATGGAAAATTATGGTTTTCCAAATCGTTTTTTTTTTTTTTTGGCTTTCAAGGGTAGAAAATCATGGTTTGGTGTGTAATAATTTAAATATGAAACAGTAATTCTCATAATAATCATAAACATTTTCAATTTATTAGAATTACTTTTTTTCACATAATTTATTTTTATAAAATTTATTCTCAAAATAATTTTTTTATTATTTTTAGAAACTATTCTCTAAAAACTAATCCACACATTAAACACAATGTTGTTTGCTGCTACAAATGACAGTACAGCCCAAAAGAGAAGAGAATTCAAGCAAGCTTGCAAGAAACACTCAGACTCAGGATAGTGACGCTCAGGACAGTCGGTCATCATTTTATTTATTAGCCATACAACACCGTAATAATCAATCAACATCAAAATAAAATATATTGATATTTTTTATAT